ATTATTTTAATTATTTCAATTATTTTGATTATTTAAATCCTGGGGTTTGGTGGCTTCGGCACACCAAACCCCCGGATTTCAATTATTTCAATTATTTCGATTCTCCAGGCCACCGAAATAATTGAAATAATTCAAATCGGTGGGTCTTTTTTTTCCAAGCCACCAATCCCACTGATTTAAATAATCAAAATATTCAAAATAATTGAAATAATTGCAGAATCATCCGCCCTGGGGACGCGCCAAGCCCGCACGAAGCCCGCGCGAAGCGCGCGCGCGAAGCCCGCGCGAAGCGCGCGCGCCAAGACCGCGCGAAGCGCGCGCGGAGCCGCGCGAAGCCACGCGAAGCTACGCGAAGCGTGCGAAGCGCGCGAGAAGCGCGCGAGAAGCGCGCGCGAAGACGCGCGAAGGCGCGCGAAGCGCGCGAAGCGCGCGCGAGAGCGCACGAAGCCGCGCGAAGCGCGCGAAGCTCGCGCGTAGCGCGCACGAAGCGGCGCGAAGCCTGCGAAGCGCGTGCGAAGCGCGTGCGAAGCCGCGCGAAGCGCGCGTGTAGCCGCGTGAAGCCGCGCGAAGCGCGTGCGCGCGCGCGCGTAGCCGCGCGAACCCGCGCGAAGCGCGCGCGCGAAGCTCGCGCGCGAAGCGCGCGCGAAGCCGCGCGAAGCCACGCGAAGCCACGCGAAGCGCGCGAAGCGCGCGCGTAGCCGCGCGAAGGTGCGTGAATCGCGCGAAGCGCGCGAAGCACGCGAAGCGCGCTAAGCACGCGAAGCGCGCGAAGCGCGCGCGTGCGCGCGCGGGTAGCCGCGCGAACCCGCGCGAAGCCGCGCGTAGCCGCACGAAGCCGCGCGAAGCGCGCGCGCGCGTAGGGTGGCGAAGCCGCGCGAAGCGCGCGAAGCGCGCGTGCGCGTGCGCGTGCGCGCGTAGGGCGCGCCCCATGGACCATATACTCGAACTCCCCCACCAACCTCGAAGTTGCGGTGCTGAATGGATCTCGCCAAGCTGTGCCTGTCACTGAAGCGATGGCGTCGTTTTGTTCTTCGACTGCTAGTTTTATGCTGCTGTCAGGCCTGCGACATCTTCGAACACACTTTACGGTAACTTCAGCTGCGCAACCTCCGGCGGTTAGCTTTGCAGAGGGCTGCTTTGGAACGCAAGGCCAGACTCTTGCAACAGCAAGAGCAGATGCTACTGTAATAGCAGCAGCTGGGGAACAGGCAAACGTCCTCCTGGCCGTCCCTTAGTGGTGGAGGAGGCTGGCGAAATTCGGCGACCACGTGTGGAGCATGTGGGCCCAGATTCTTGACGCCGGTGTTGGAACCGACACCATCCTGCCGTCACAGGCAGACCAAGCACGGGGCCAACGCGATTGGTCGTGGACAAAGTGCCAGAATTAATTGTGGCATGATCGAGCAGATCCCCAAGCTGGAGATCGGGCTGATGAGTCAATGAAACTCGGTGCTGTGATGTCAGCCTCCGGACTACAAGACAACGACGCAGCACAAGACCGAGCAGAAGTAGAAGAAGACCAAGAACTCAGGAGCTCGAGGATCGATGAGTGCTGGGACGAGCTCGACGGTGCCTATGCTGAATTTGGGGACTCGTGGCCTGCAGTTGCTGGAGCCCCAGGCGCTGGAGACTGGCACTGTGACGGACGAGGACAGCTTCTCCGAAGTGGGGCAGATGAATGCCGACCTCTAGAAGATGGAGGTGGATTCGATCGAGAAGGAGTTTGACTGGAACCTCCGGGCATGATGCAGAAGTGCCCGATGTGTCTTCAAGGTTGCCTCCACTTGATGTACCACACGGCCGAAGGCAGGCCGCTTTGTGTGGAGGTGCTGGGGCGGAAGTCCGGGATGCCAACTTGATGGCCTGGGCATCAGGCTGTGTCTACGGTGCCAGCAAGAGGCTTTGGAGACGGTCATTCAAATGCGCCGGAACGCCTACCGCTGCCCCCAATGTGGGGATGTGACGCTTCACTCAGAGTGGAGCCAAGCCCTGAAAGAACACTACGGCGCGGGTAGCTACAATCCTCAGGTGACTCACCAACGTCCTCCACAACCTCCTCTCGCTTCCTGGCTGGGCTAACCAGCCGGCCGTGAAAGAACTGATGGATCAGGTGCGTGGTCTTGAGGGTTTGGTGAATCCTTGCGTTGTGCTGCTCCTTTGAGTACCAGGGTGATTGCCTCGCCTGCTGGAGGATATCGCTGAAACATTCTGGACATCGACCGTCACCCCAGCCGACCTTATGAACTGTTGGTGCTGCTTGCGCGATGTCAATGTCGTGGGGATCTGCGACCCCAACCATCAAGCACATCAAGGCTGCGAATAAGGTGATCAGCGAACTGCACAAGACAATGGATGTGATTCTGCGGATCCTCCCGATTCTGGCTGAAGAAGGCATCTTCATAAGTATCTCAGATGCCTCCCTGGCGAACGACGACGAGAAGTCACAAAGCGGCTACATCGTCAGCTTTGTCAAGCGCTCGATCATGGATGGCGAGCTGGCACCAATGAGCATCCTCTGCTGGCGAAGCCACAAGCTTCGAAGAGTTGTGAAAGCTTCACTTGGATCAGAGGCCTTGGCGATGGATGATGGGATGAGTGAACTGGAGTGGCTTCGGGCAATGTATGCCGAAGTCTGCGTTCCAGAGGCAGCTGTGACGGATGCCGCTCGTTACGGACCTCGAGATGAATCAGTGACAATCAGTGGTGGCCGTCAGACAGCCGGATCCCGATGACCCTACCATCATGGTGACTAATGCCCGGGCCCTCTACGACCTTTACCAGCGCAAGAGTGGAGCAGCAGGTCTTGATCGGCGTGCTCAGATCGACGTCGCGGTCCTTTCGAGTGCTCAACGCCCAGATTTAGTGGCTTCCCGGTGTTTACATGCTCGCAGATAGTTTAACCAAGAGGTTGGGAAATTCCCAGCTGACAAGGCAATGGGCTCACCAAAGCCTCTCTCGAGAAACTTTTGTGTTGTACAGACCTGGAGCTACCTTCTGGTGGATGTGGAACAGATGACAGTACCTTGAGCTGTGCAAAATAGGAAGCCCAGTTTTCACCGGCGACGGTGACGCCCGAAGCTTTGACTCCTTCAACCCTGTGGTTAGCTCTTGAATGTTTGGAGCGGGTGAAGCTGCTGTGCATTCAACAGAACTTTGACCGTGTGACAAACAGCGTGTGTGCAATTGCATGTTCAAAAGATACGGTGAAGGGCATTCCATGCTCTTGCTGGAGATCGAATGCCGTTGCTTTGAGAAGAATGCACTATCTAAAGAGAAGCCACAAACGCTGCCCGCGGGTGGTCCTGCTGGGGTTATCTGGTGCACCTGCTGCGGACCAGGCTGGAGGACAAGCCTGGGATTTGGTCTCTGGGAAGTCGCCATCCGCAAATCCATCCGAGTCCCTTTGCACACTAAGCCTTTGTCGAGTTTCAACACTGTCACGAGCCGTGTAAGGTGCCTATGTGGCTCCTGGAGCCTCCATCATTGGGACGGTTACTCTGAGGAAAGATGCGAGTGTGTGGTTCAATTGTACCCTGCGAGGCCTGGTCACGAAGTGGAACTGTTCAAGTGGCTGTCGTGAATTCATGTTTGCATGTCTGCATTCCCTGAGGAGACAATGAAGTAATCACAATCGGCGAAGGCTCTGACATTCAGGACCAGGTTTTCGACTTGACACGCTGCTGTCTCGGCACTGTTTGACAGTGAGGGTGCAAGATTTGAGATCAAGTCGCTGAAAGGACAACTCGGTGCTGCATTGCGATCCTGGCAAGCCACTGGTCGTGGGGAGGAATTGCCTGGTCGGACATCAGGCGGGAATGTATGCTCTGTAGCAGGGGCAGCGTGTTCTGCAGATATGCGGTGTGCAAGCTTGCATCTGATGGTCTGTGTTTGTTTCTTCCAGCCATGGCACTACTGTAATTGCACGTTCCCCCTTCGCTTGCTGGCGCCGGGCAGCGATTGTCAGACGTGGTTACGCTAGCTACTGTAGTGCGAAGAAACAGCTCACGCCAGACATGTGCAACTTCTCACGGAGAGGCGCAGTGGTGCACACTCAAGTGCTTTGGATTCTTGGGCCCGCATTCGCACATCCACCCAGTCTCTGCACTTGTCACACCGCCCAGCCCGGCTGAATGCGTTTCCACGGGAGAGTCCGGAATGCTGAATCCTCGCAGAGCTTCGCCACCGACTGTGCGGACCCGTTAACCCTCTTCCGTGATTGCGGCATGTCTATCGCATAGGCTGCATAAGCACCACCTAAGGACACGGTAGCCGACCAGTCAAGCCCTTGCTGACAGGTTTGCCTACATGGATGCCGAATAGGAGAGAACTGCCTTATTGGAATGAGGACCACAATCTTGGATAATGTCGTGCTGTCCTCAAATGTTTGGCGTTACGATACAGATGTTCGGAATACCAGAAGAGCTCCATGATGCTCGAGGTTATTGGCAGTAACTGCTTTGTTGCTGCAGGCCGGGTGTTGTATAGCTGACACACCGTAACTTGTCGGAGTCGCATCTGACATAGTCGTAACTGTCTCTCACTGCCTGCAAGGCTCCTTCATTGGCGAGGGGAGAAGCTTTCCAGACAATTCTCTCATTGGTGGCAACCCTGCAAAGCGGTCTGGTCCTCAATGCAGTCGGCATCCTCATCACATCCTCATCGTCCTCATCACTTCATTCAAACAAACGCGAATACCGCCTAGACTTGATATCTGAGAAGTTTCACTTCCGACCCCTACTGCATGCAGCAATCACAGACACCCTTCAGCCTTCGCAAGTGCTTAAAGCTGCCTTTTGGAGTTTGAAGCCTGATAGCACCAGGACTGCAGCTGCCGGAGTCGAGTTTCGTGCATTTCGTTCCGCAACGCATCGTCCGTCCATTGTCCATTCCGTCCAAATCTCCTACTCCTGCCTTCCACAGCCCTCCCTCATCCATCCACCCGCTTTTCCATCCGTCTATCGACCCACCCATCCACCATTCGATGCCTGGTGCACGCGTTTGAACTCCAAATGTCGCAGCTTCCTTGGCCGCTGTTGCAGGATAGCGGATTTGGAAACAGACCCGGCGAAGATGGCGGCAGTCATGAATGCAGCAAGCAGCAGCGCACTTAGATCCGGTAGCTGGCATGCAGATCTGGCTCAAGCGAAATCAACCGAAATCAAGCTACAGCCTTAAGAGCTCCTCCATGGAGGCAGAAAGAATGAAGCCAGTTCCATTTTCAGCTCGGTCATCAGGAGACAAGTCGGAGACAAGCACAGCCAGGGTCGATTTGTGTCCGCAGCAGTGCCCTTATTCTTGTCTAGTCCCGTGACTGTGCACCTGTTGTTTCTGGTCCGTGAAGGTTGAAGAAGCTGCTGTCAGGCAGTAGGCCTTAGTAGGCTAGTAAAATATGGAGTAGTTCCCGAGCGAGGCACTTCTTCTTGAACAGGAACGCTGAAGTTGCCAGGTAAAGGCCTTGCGGCAAATCGTCCCGAAGCGCCGGCGGGCGCAGGGCTACGAAGATGTTGTGTCGTCACGCCGCCGGTCCGGTCTCGACATGCGAGTTTAACAGACGAATCATGCTTTGAGCAGGTTTCTGTGCGTCCAAAGCCCCCCAGAGACGTGGTGCGCTCAGGCTATGTGGAGAACAAGGAGCGGTATACGAAAGACTTGCACCCTTTCGACGATATAGCTGGGTAAAATGTGCTGCCTGCTATGCACAGCATCTGCCAGAACTTGCAGCGTCCTATGCTGGCACCAATATTGGTCCCGTTTCAGGAACTTGTCGAGCTCCCTTTGTGCTTCTTGGCTTGAGGTTTGCATTTGCATCACTGAGAGATGGCCTCAATCCAAAGGTCGGTTCTTGCATCATCATCCGGCTTTGAGCTGAGACTGTTCTGAGGCGTCCAAGTAATGAAGACCAAGTTGAGGTCATCCTAGGTCAATCCACAGTGCGTGCAGTACAGGTCGGCCTGTGATGCTTGGCAGCCAGTCATACCCTCAAGAGCCTGAGTCAAGGGCAGAGCAACCTCCGTTCAATTCTCTGCAGTGGCCGTTGATCAGAGGTTCTCACTGGTGCGGTTTTCAATTTGGTCAATGGAGACAAGCACGAGGCCGTTTTGGGAGTTGGGATTTTTGTTTCTTTAGCCCGATTCGATTTTCGCGACCGAGGTTGAGCGGGAGTCCCATTTTCTGCACTTCCTGTGCAGCTGGACCTTCGGATGCTCTGGACGCCTACCGTTGGCGTGCGGCCCTTGCCCTGTTCTGAGAGCGGTAGGACGCAGTTGTCCGGGGAGGCGCTCGGTGATTCTGGGCCTCATGCTTGCCGCTGTGGTGCAGGGTGTGGCCAGGGCGGCCCTCGCCTGTTGTGATGTGCATGCTTCTTTTTTTGGAGAGTTGAGCCACATGACAACGCGAGGTGATTGGCGATGGTGTCAAGAAGGCGGGGATAAAGTGTGTTGCTGGTTTAAGCTTCGGGGTCTGAACTCAGCATTGGATTTGTAATGTGTCAGGAGATGCGGAACAGGCAGAACAGCGAAATGCGTGCAGCGATGTTCGAGCACTTGCTCGCGCAGGACCAGGCGTCAAGAAGCTTGAAACGGGACCACAAGCTAAAAGCCCACTTGCCGGCATGTGTGGGAACTATCTCCTCAACTGTCTCTCCCCAACAGCGCAACGGACTGAAGTCGAGACACTCGGTAGAAACTAGCAGAGCGGGGCGGAGCCCAAAGCTAGAGAGCAGAGCATAGAGCCGTCGTCAGGCTCTCTACGACACGTTACGGCAGCGTGACCTGGTCCGAAAGGTGGAGCTGAGGGCGCTCAGCGAGGTGCTCTCCGGAAGCTCACGGAGAAAACGACTTGACAGAACATGTTGTCTAGATTTCACGGTCATCCAGTCATATGTAGCATCCAGCCGACATGCCCCGAGTGATCGCAGACGAGGTGACGGAGTGGGTATGGGGGATGACTGCGGATACCGTTTGGCACTCGAAAAAATCCTGCACAGGCATTTCGGCGTTGCGAAAGCACTGTTGCCCAGGTCAAGCTTGCCACTCAGATGATCTTTCTTTTTGCAATTTCGCCGTTGATGACGCCCGGGGCCCAGTCTGGCAATCTTGCCTCGTCGCGTCGCTTCAAAGGCCGTGTGTGGTAGGCTTCTGCACAGGAACATTCGACGTGCCAGGAATCTTCAGTTTGAAGTACGACTTCACGCATGTGGGGTTTCATTCCATGAGATCGCTCGCGACATTGCAGCATACATCAACATACTGAAGCTCACAGGCTGTGCTTTTTTGGGTGGCGCAAACAAGAGCTTGTCTTGGGGTGTGCTTGCATGCTTGTTCCTTCAAGCGAGCCGCTCACAACAAAAGAGATACTAGTACGACTACTACGACTGCAACGACGGCGACGACTACTACTCCTACTACTACGACTATACTGACTATACTATACGATTACCACTACTACTACTACTACTACTACCACTACTACTACGACTACTACTACTACTACGACGACGATTACTACTACTACTACTACTACTACGACTACTACTACGACTACTACTACTACTACTACTTCTACT